TTAGCTAAGCAAGGGGTGGCTAAGGATTCTTTGTTTTGGGCACATTTTTAGTATTTTGTTGCCATTTTGATGTTGGGGAGTTAAGATAGTTTACCTCCCCTTTTTTTGTAATTAATTTTCACAAGTATTATTCATTAATAAAGATTTCTGTTATCGATAAAAAAAAGATGGGCCCAAAGTTTACAATATCTACAATGCAATCCCAGGAGGGTCAACCTAGATTAGGTGTGAGCACACAGAATTAACCAAAGCTTTTTCTTTCCTTTCTTTTCAAGTAGGGAAAGCAGTTATTGTATTCTGCAATTTATCTTCCATAGGACCTTTCTATTTAATTTTTGAATAAGCCACAATACCCTGGATTTTGTGAAACGGAATGAATAACAATTTTACTGCGAATATGATATTTCTTAAATGTTGATCCTCTACTCAATTATCTATAGTGGAAATTATGATTCCATGAAGGTTCATATTGTCCTTTTATACTGTTAATTGTCCATATTTTTTTAAAGCCAGTTAATTGTACACATGCATTCTCCTAATTTTCACTATTCTTTGTGGATCTGTTCAGTCCTGTGTACTTCCTTTATTTCCTTAAGTCTTCATACCTTTCCTTGTAAAACAATCCAAATAATACAGATTATTTTACCCCCATAGAGTTTGTTCCTGAATGCAGTTCATTTCTGTTTACTTCATCTTTGGCCATTGTCTTTGCCAATGTATTTGCTGATATTTGGACCAACCAGAATGTATCAAGTGTAGAGTTGAGATCTGACCAAAGATTTCACTTCCCTGAAGGGTGCACGAGTGAGGTTATATCTTAAGGCAACCAGATCTGACCAAAGATTTCACTTCGCATCCACCCTGCCAGTGTTTTAAAAAGGCATGTCTAGGTGCACAAATGAGGCTCATATCTTAAGGCTAGCAGGTCAGCTCAGAAACAATAATGAGTCTCTCACCTTGATCATTTCTTAGCACTCCATCGGTCCATCCTAAATTCCGTAGGTTTCACAAGCTACAGCCTTTGAAATTCAATTTTTGGGGGAGGTGGCTGGGATGGTTTTAGGAGGGCACAGTCTCTAGAAGTTGAAGTAGAAAGCAATATATTGCCCTCCCTATAATAATGGGTTCTTCACTTCTTCCTAGTGCTTTAAAAGTGCAAGGTGCAAAAAAAGCGCAAGGGGCAATTTGCACCTGAGGCACAAGGTGCAAGGCGAGGTGCGTGCCTTTTTGAAGCATGGTGTAAAAATAGAAAAAAGTCAGTAAATTCAAAAAAATGCAAAAAATATTAAAGCACATTCAAATGAAAATTTGAAAATAAAATCAAATGTAAAATTTTAAAACGGCACACACCTTGGCTGAGGTGCAAGGCGCATCAGGCATACACCTAGGTAAGGTGCATACCCTAAAATGCGCCTCACCTGTGTGCCTAGGCGCACCTTTTAAGTCACTGGTTCTTCCTGGGGATGCTAGGAAGTTTGTTGTCTGTTTTCAGGCCAAATGTTGGTATCACATGCTATTTTGGGGGATACTTTAAAGAAATGAATCTAATGTCAGTAATACTGAATATTTTCTGAGCATGCAGTGTCCATAAGTCATGCAATTTTTTTTGCTATTAAAGGATGGAGTTTTTACTTGTGATGCTAATTTATTGAGAGTATTTCTTAACTTTTTGCACATTTGATACTATCATGCAGGTTTCTTTGATGGAGGAATGCGGGTTTCTTGAAAGAGCTTTGGAGGAATTGCACAAGAAAGAGTCTAAAATTGTAAGCACATGTTTCAAAGTGCTAGTAAAGATGAGATGGATTGTAATTTTTTACTATAAGGATTTCAGATATCATCCAGTTCTCTGGTAACATCCTTCCAGGTTGATAAATTAGCTTTCAAGGAACAGGAAGTTTCCTTGTTAGTAAAGCTTGGTCGTCTAGGGGAAGGAGAGGAAATCTATAGAGCTTTGTTGTCTATGAACCCTGACAATTATAGGTGCGCTGCTTCTCTTTCTTCTTTGTTCCTTTGTTGCTGTAGAAGTATTTTCTATTGTACATTGGAAGATGGTTAGGACTGATAATAAGCAGGTGACAGGATAGAGTTTGTTTGAAAGATTATAAGTCGATATCATTCATCAAAAAAATGAAAGATTATAAGTTAATGGCTTTGTTTTTACTACCATAAACAATTTGGATTCTTGTATTTGATATGTCTTGCAATTTCTCAGCAAGCTAGCTGCGGTCTGCAATGACATCTTATGCCCTCGTTAATTTTGGTTCTTTAACAAGGAATTTCTAATGTTCAGCAATTTATTGAAGTGCATTTATGTTTGTAATATTTTCATCAGCTCTTACCAGGACAAGGCATTATTGAAAACTTGGGAAGTGATTATATGTGAACAGCATGCCATGGCATGATATTGCTTGGCACATGCCATTACAGATATCAGCTTTGGACCTGCAGTATAATGGTGTGCTGAACAAAAAAATTGGATGTCAGATGCTGCTAATAATCATCAATTACATTATCGTCATGATGGTTATTAGCAGCATCATATTGCTTGGCACATGCCATTACTGATATCAGCTTTGGACCTGCAGTATAATGGTGTGCTGAACAAAAAAATTGGATGTTTGATGCTGCTAATAATCATCAATTACATATCGTCATGATGGTTTATCTTACTGATGTGCTTGGTGTTCCATGCTATTATAAACCTTGACAGTTTTAGTCCATTCCATTGTATTAACTGGTATTTGGAGTATTGTATCGTATCACAAGTTAAAGAGAGGTACATCAAGGAAATTGTGGCTCATCTCTCTCTCCCCAATTCTTTTTTGCTAGTGAAATGGTTAATTCCAATTTTGTTTGTCTTTGACTTTGTTGGTATTTAATATCTTCTGGAGATGATTTGCAGCTTGCTGACATGTCTTTTGTGTGGTGACCCTTTGCATATTTTTCCCTTTTTCTTCTCTTTTTTGGGTATTGGTTGTTGTTTGGAAGTTGACCAGTGAGCCTTTATGTTATGCTTTAATTATTTCTATATTTCTGTGTTGCCATGTCCTGTGTTGGGATTTTTAGAAATTGATAAAGGCATGTCTTGGGTGCATCTAGGTTCTCAGGTGAGGCTCATTCTGTGGGGTGTGTCTCACTTGAATCCAATTGTGCCTCATGGCCCTCACTTGGTTTCTTGGTATGTGTCAGTCAATTTTGAATTTGATGTTTTTTCCTGGGAGGTGAGTATCAAGTCTTATTTCTTCCTTCTAAGCATATTTTTATAACCCATCTCTTCCTTGAATAGGTAATTTTGCATTCTGTAGGTTGTAGCCATTATGTCTAGAGTTTAAACAATTTAACCTTTGTAGGACTTGGACGTAAAAGGCTTTGGCCTCTGTATTAATAACATGATGCTCTAATCATTGGGTGAGGGCAGTAGAGCTGTTTTCAGACTTAACACTTGATGACATACTCAGAAATTGGAGGGCACTTGCACCATCTTCTAAAACACCAAAAATCATCAAGGAGTGGACAGCCCTAAGTAGAGGATGGTGGAAGTTAAATTTTTTATGGGAGCAGTTTGGGCAACCCTGGGCCATCTAGTGATGGGGAAGTGATAAGGGATGGGAATGTAAGTAGACTCAGTAAGGGCAGAGATGAGGGCAGCAACTGTTGGGGTGCAAAAAGCCAAGGAGATGGGAACAGAAAGATTGATTGTTGATGGTGACTCAAGGTGGTTATCAGTTGGTTAATAGAAGGAACGAAAGTTGCTTGGTGCTTCAGAGATGAAATCAGGTATTTAAATGGTTTTCAAAGGATATGCAGATTGAAATTCAATGTGTACAAAGATCAGCCAACAGCTTGGCTGATGGTTTGGCAAAACAGGGAGTTTATAGGCAACAAATTTTTTGGGTATGCTGTAAAATGCAAGGTTTGGGTGGGACTTGGGAGAGCAGAGGCTATTTTGTTTTCTACTTGATTGTAATCACAACCTCTTGCTGTACTTCATCTGCTTTCTTAGTAATGAATTAATTTACCCTTCTTGTTGCAGATAAAAAATGACACTCTAATCAATTGAGCTAATAGCATTTTCGAAATATTATATTTCTTTCTTAGTTTTTAATAAATGGTGTCTCACTTCATTCAGCACGTGCCTCACCTTGTGCCTCAGGTTTAGTAAGCCCATGTGCTTTATTTGTGCTTCTTGCTTTTAAGACACTGATGCTGATGGTGCTGGACACCTCTTGATACTTGGACACATGCTGTTGCGTGTCTAGGTGACACTGGGTTTTGTATTAACTCAACTTGTTGATGAGAATGTGTGCGTAATCACATTTATGCTATCTGAGTTTTCTGAAATGTTTGGCATATAGACCAGGTTTCTTCTTTTATTTTTGAGAAAGATAATTTTTTATTCAGAAGGGTTCAACTGGGGGGGGGGAGGGTTCATAAGGAGGACCGATAAAAAAGTCTCTAATTCTGACAACAGAATCAGTTCTATTTCCCCTTTCTTATGTGTATCTGGATATCATACCTGCTTTTATTCCAAAATTATTCGACTTCTATCTGCTTTCTACTGTTTCTGGAAATCAGGAGTTCAGCTATTTTATTTTAACCATGCTAGGTAAGTCTTTTCCAATAAGCCAATCATCTTGCACATTAGCACCAGTCTTGAAGTGACGAGAAAAATTCTATTTTCAGGCTTTTTTTGGGGAGAAGGATTATATAAGCATGACAGTTCTTTTGCTTTTGGGATTATATAAGCACTAATTTAGAGGCCATTTAGATTTTGTTATGATGTTGCAGATGATACGTTAATCTTCTCGGATGGTTATGATTGGAGTGGGAGATATTCAGCAAGCTGTTTTGGAGGAATGTGCTGGAGCCTTGGGATGTTTAATTGGGGAATTTCCTTTCTCTTACTTGGGTCTTCCAATTGTGGCTAGGGCAGTTGCTTCTTCCACTTGGCAACCTGCCCTAGATAGAATTGATCAGAGGTTGGCGGGTTGGAAGGAGAAATTTTGTCTTTGGGGGGGAAACTAACTTGAACTAAGAGTGTTCTTTGAAATCTGCCAATTTATTTTCTCTCCCTTTTAAAGGCACCTTCTACATTGGTAGGAGAGATTGGGAGAATGCAAAGGGATTTTCTTTGGAATGTTATGGTGGAAAAAAAAGAAGTTTCCTTTGGTTAAGTGGGACTTTGTGTGTAAGCCTAAAAGATGGGGGCTTGGGAGTGAGAAGAGTGGGTGTATTTAACAAAGCTTTCTTGGGGAAGTGGGTTCGGAGGTTGGGAGGGTGAGGGATGCCTTTTGGAGGAGAATGGTGACTTGTAAGTATGGGTGGTGAACTTTGGGTGGGATGTGCAGGATTGGAAGGTTGTGTGATTTTTGTCCAAGATTGTATAATTTATGTGAGAAGGGACTGCCTATTTCTCACTGCTATGAGGTTAGTAATGGCCCTGTGGTCTGGTGCCCTGAATTTAGATGACCTTTATTAGATTGGGAGTTGGAGGAGTGCGTCTGGCTAAGCTTCAAGAGTTTCAGATTGATCCATCGCCATCAGATGTCAAATGGTGGAAAGATGTAAAGATGTAAAGATGTGAGATTTACAGTCAAATCCATGTATAATGCTTTAATGAGGAACCAGGTGGTGGCTGGTGCAATTAGGGGTGTTTGGGGGAGACTTGTCCCCCCAAGAGTTGAAGCTTTTGTGTGGCTGATGTCAAGAAGCTGCATTCTTACACAGGACATGTTGAAGAAAAGAGGCTATCAATTCCCATGTGTGCCATGTCTTGCGGAAGAGGAGAATATTATGCACATTAGAATAAAAAAAGAATATTATGCACATGATGGTTCAATGCAACTTTGTGAAAAGGATCCGGTTCTTCTTCAATCTCTTTAAGGTGACTGGATGGGCACCAGTGGACTCTGCTGGAATCTTTGGTGACTGGTCTAGAGTTTTGGGAAGTACTAAAGCAAAAATAATCTGGAGTTGCATTCTGTTTGCTTGTCTGCTGGGAGGTTTGGTGGGGAGATAAACAAGAGGATTTTTGAAGGGAGATTGAAATGCTTGGAAGAAGTTGGGGTAGCAATCTCTTGAATATCTGTTGGCTGGGCGTTGGTACTTCCAGAATTTGATTGACTAAAGAAAGAAGATTTGGGTTCTTGCTTTTGGCATACTTTGAATGTTTAAGATTGTAGGCTTGGTTCATGTACTCCATTTTTTGTTTTACGAGACTTATTTTCTGTTCGTTGTTGTTTTGTTGGGGTGACTCCTGGTCGCCTGTGTTGGATGTATCTTTTATTCAGTAATAAAATTTTCCTTTTTATTTATCTTCAAAGAAAAATGTTGCGGAGTTGTGACAGAGTGGCAAGATTAAGGGATAGCATTGGATTCAAGTGCATTATTTGGAACCTTGGAGGTCCCCTGATTGTAAAAAACATGAATGGAAATGGGCTAGGTGGTTATGTGCAAAGAAGACCATCAACTGCAACAGTGAGATTAAGTGATCTGATGCAAGTTGAGGGTTCTAAAATGGCCAGGAGAGGCCAGAAAGGATGTCTGTTAAGCTTTTTTTCTTCCATTATAGTTGTCTTTCTGTTTCGTTTTCTGTTCTTTTCTGCTTTTGCTAGTCCATACAGACTAGATGCTTGTCTCCTCTTCTGAAGACGTACACTTGAACAAAAGATGTGGTCCTTGATATATTGTAATGGAAAAGTGTAGTTGATTGATATTTTTTGGCCTGTCTTTTCTGAGATCAGTATTTCTGCTAGGATTGAAAGATTTCTTGTCTTTTCTGAGATCAGTATTTCTTGTGCACCCATTTGGCTATGGTTAGCTTGCCTTGGGACCAATCTTGAATGAGGTTTTAGTTCTTTGGATTAGAGTTCTAGTCTCTATAATGTGGTAATCTAATCTCCATGGGCTTTAAGCCCACAATAGCTTAATAGATGAAAAGCTAGCCAATCCCAATCAAACTCAGTGGTTTAGATACTGATGAAAGATAACCTATTGATCCTTACTTGATCATTCCTCTTCACCCTTTTCCTTGATCCTTACTTGCTTTGTCTCCCCTCCTAGTATTCTTGTTCAGGGAAATAGATTGGCTGATTCGTGCACCACAATAGTCCTTTGTGTCTTGTCTACCAGTCTACCTTCTTGTATCATAAGTTCTGGCTTCAACCTCTTCACCTGCCTTTTGTCTACTAATCTTGTCTTACTAGCCATCTGAGAATCATCCTCAATGAGAACCTGAATCTTTGAACCATGGTCAATAATCACTTCCCTAATAGATGTCCTGTACTCATGAGGCCTTAGAAGGTATATCCTTTCTATATTGCTCCTAGAAGCACAAGTAGATTCCAGGGGGCCTGGTTTACCCAATTATGCCCAATAACCTGTCAAAGTTTTGATAAGACAGTATCAGGCCAAGGGAAAGAGGCACATCTCACAACGTCTTTTCTGTGGAAAGATGACTGCACAACTATGTTATGTGGATACTTAAAGATGGGTCTCATCCGTCTCAGTCACCAATTTCAAGTGTAAATTTTGTGCCCTAGACTGTATCTCTATCATATCCTTGTATCTTTGTAATCAATCCTGACAATAAAATTCAAACTCTAGTAACTGATTTTAAGTCCTTATTTGTTATCTCAAGGTGGTATTTTGGTACCATCGTGTTGCTTTCCTGTTTAAGCTTTGGGAGATGCCACATAAGTACCATCTAGACCTTTTCTGCATTGATGGTTATAAATCTATTTGGTACTGTCCGTTCGAAGCAGAAATGGGAACTCATTGCTTTTGCCTTGGGTTTCACATTGAAGCTATGCTGGATAGATTTTTTTTTTTTTTTTTATCAATAACTGCAGATTCCTTGAATTAGAAAAATATATGTACAGAGTAAAATACAAAGACTGAGAGATAAGCTTTTTAATTTCTAACCAAGCACTTTGCTTTTACAGTTGCGCCCAACATATTTTCTCTTCTCACCCCTTGCTTTGCCAACATGTGCGCAGAGGAGTTTGCACTTCTCTTAACCCATTGTACTTTTACTTCCATATCCTTGGCCAGCCATTTAAACCTTTTCTTCTTACTGTTGTAGTTCCACAGCTCCATTTCTTCACTTGTTAACCACCCCACTACCAGTTTTGAATCTCCTTAAATAGTTAATTTCCTAATGTTTAATTGTCTTGCCCTTTGCACTCCTTCCATCATAGCCATGACCTCTGCCATGAGAGAATCACCCACACCAGCTGGGCCTGAGAATAGAGCAACTATCCTCCCCTCCTCAACTCTGAATACACCCCCAATTCCTGACAAACTAGGATTCCCTATACTGCTGCCATCAAAGTTAAGTTTAATGAACCCTGTATCCGGTGGAGACCACAAGGGAATTGTGATGCTCTTTTTGTAGGATGATTCAGCCACTTCCAATTTCTTAGTAGATCATTTGTTGTGACAGACGAGAATGTTTTCAAGGACTTCAACCAACGGGCTACTGTAATTGTAATGGACTAAGTGATGGCCGAAGCAGGGGCTTACAAATTGGAAAGCATGTTAGAGTAATTACAGTATGAATGCAATATTTGGTATAAGGCTCTCATCTTGAGAATGGCCATTTTTTGGTATAGCAAACATTTATTCATTATACCCTTATTGCTTGTGCATGATGGTTTGTGCCTATACATATCTTCACATCATTTCAAATGCTCAGATGTCATGCAGCTAACCTATTTTTCAAGATTCTTCAGAGGTTAACTAATTATATCATCTGGAATTCACTCTTTTCAGATATTATGAGGGTCTGCAGAAATGTTTGGGGTTATATTCAGAAAATGGCCAGTATTCAGCTAATGACATTGATAAGCTAGATGCCTTGTACAAATCACTTAGAGAGCAATACACTTGGTCATCTGCTGTCAAGGTAAGGTTTTGGTACTCCAACTTGGATCCTTATTCAGTCTGTTTTGTTTTTGATAAGAACTATTCTAGTACTCCCCCTCTCTCTGGGTGGTGTGTGCGGCTGCAGTATATAAAATCTAACGATCTACACCACCTTATATTTTGGTCAGTATCATCTCCTTCATCTTTGATTATTAGTCAGCAGTTTGGTAAGCATTTTGTAAATTGGTTGTACAAAAGAATGTCACTCCTTTCCAGGATCCTCAATGTGTTATACCATGACTGTCAATAGTTAGAGGCTTGTTGAAAGGTCTTGTTTCAAACCGACAGTGAGACATCTTCTACCTTTAGATAGGTCTAAATTTGTAGGGTAGTTCATAGAAAGTCAACATATGTACTACTAAAGAGTCCTCTTTTTTGGATTTTGAGGGGAGGGGGGGGGAGTTGGTCATTGGGATTGTGAACCCCGTTGACCAAGAAACCCATGTTCTATTTTCATATTTGTGTGGGGACCAGGGAAATGGGTTTTTATGGTTAAAATGGTCATTGTCTTATTTACCTGGGAGATAAAGGAACATGGGTAAGTAACTTACCGAAAAATGAATGGGGCCTTAGAGTGATGTGAACTTCATATACCCGTTGGAGTGAAGGGGTTTTGAGATTAAAACCCTTTTGACAGAATAATTTTATAGTCTGTTTTGCCCATTCTAGGAACTTCAATCTGGCTTAGATCAAGAGCTTCCAAAGGTCAGAATCCTAGGTGAGGACTCATTGAACAATAATTTCATTTGGTCCTGGAATCAGCAACATGGAGGAGAGGACATTAAGAAAATTTTCTTACATTAGCTGTTTAACTGTTTCATTGATTAGTACTGATCAGATCTTTATTGATAAAAGAATCAAATAATAGTACAAAACATTGTATAGACTTTCCTATTACAAGTAGAAGGGCAAAACTAAAATAGATAGTTAGCCTCTTTGCTGATCTCTGCAAGGCTTTATCAAGGGCTAAGGAATTCACAGTCCTTGACATAAAAGTGAAAGAGGTGTGTTCAAACTTGAAAGAAGATAAGACTGGGTTGTGGAGCTACAGCAATGAAATGAAAATTTTCAAGTGGCTGGCTAAGGATATGGAAGTAAAGTACAGTTGGGTGAAGAGATCTACTAACTCATTTGCTGATGGGTTAGCCAAGCAAGGGGTGACTGGGGAATCTCTTTTCTGAGCTCATTTGTAATTCTGCTTTCTTTTATTTTTTGTTGGGAAGTTTATTATGGTAAGATTAAGACCTTTAAAAACCTACAAAAGAGGAGACCAAATTGGTGCTTATCCCCTAATTGGTGTGTTCTTTGTAAATCTCAGAATGAGGACTGTCACCATTTACTGATCTCTTGCTCCTTTCCTACAGCTTTATGGAATTGGATTCTTACGTTATTTGAGTGTAGGTGGAATTTGCCATCTAATACTAGCTTGTTGTTTAGTCCGTTTATTTTTTAATGGCACACAAAGAGAGGGAGAATTATGTGGAAGTGCACAAGAGCAGCTTTGTTGTGGACAGTTTGGGAAGAAAGGAACACCAGAATCTTTTGTGAAAAAGAAAGAAGCTTCTTGGAAGTTAAATAATGTATTCTGACAAGGGCAATTCAGTGGCTGAAAACTCTAAAGATCTTTAATGCATACTCTTTTGATGACCTATGGAGAAGCTGGTTAGCAGTGGCTAATACTTCCACCAGGAAGGACAGACATGGGGTTGAATGGATGCCACCAGGGGAGTTTATCAAGCTGAACTTTGATGGAAGTAGCCGAGGAAATCCAGGACCTTCAGGCACAGGAGGAGTGCTAAGAAACAAAGATAGTAACATTATATCTTTATACTCAGGTCCTGCAGGTGTGGGAGACTCTTTAAGGGCCGAATTACTTGCTACTGTACAAGGAATCCAGCTTGCAAATCAACTAGGCATAGAGCATCTGATTATTGAAGGGGATTCCCAGGTGATAGTGGCTTGGCTGAAGGATCCAGACACTGTGATTTGAAGTTTTAGAGATCTTCTCAAAAGGTTAAATGGTTAACAAGGAATTTGACAATCAGAGTTCAGTGGGTAGGCAGATTAGCAAACTCATTGGCTGATTCACTTGCAAAACAAGGGGTTCTCCGGGATACTTTATTTTGGGCTTCAGTGTAATTTCTTTTGTACTTATAATTCTGTAACTAGCTTTAAAGGAAAGGTCGCATCTCGTGCCTTTCCTCAGGTTACATGTAACTCTTATTTGCTGGTTTAATAAAATTTCACTCATTTATCAAAAAAAAAAAGATAGTTTATCTCCCCCTCTTTGTACTTATTCTTTATTATTGATTAGTGAAAGTTCTTGTTATTGATAAAAATTGAGGTGTGTGCAAACTCCAAGCCAAGCATCTTTCTTCTCTTACTTAATGACAATATTGCTGGGGCCTGTTCCCTGGTTTGTCATCCACCTGATGATGACTTCTGAATCTCCTTCCACTTAAACATTCATATATCCTGATCAGCATCCAAATCTTGGACCTCGTAAGAGAGATAAACGTTCTGCTTGATTTTTTTTTTTTGATAAATCTAAAAGTTCTGTTTGATTAGAATCACAATCACCCTCCCCAACAGAACTTGAATATACCATCACACCTTGCTAGTCTCTAAAGACACGAGCTATTCCTGAATTCCCTGGGTTATCAAAGCAACATGCATCAAAGTTCTGCTTAATGCAAGTCAAAAGACAGCGGAATCAAATTCTGAATCCTTAATGATCTATTTATAAATCTGCAACAACTTGTCAACCCCTTGATATATCAAATGACAGCTTTGTGCATTTTCTGTTAATTGGATTGCACCTATCTGATACTTTGGATTTTCATATGTTGGACATATATCAAGTAACTTTTAAAAAAAGGTCTCAGAATCCAAAGATTGGGATGTACAAATTATAACTTTTCCCTAATGCATCTTCAACTTTTCTTATTTTGCTGTCCTGCTCAGAGGATACCACTGGATTTTCTACAAGGTGAAAAATTCCGAGAAGCAGCAGATCACTATATCAGGCCTCTCTTAACCAAGGTACATATCATGTTTCTGTGCACATGTTCTATTCTGAATGGTTTCTTAGTGCTTGAGGAGCATTGCTTTGTCCTTTTTCTCCTAAAATGTCACTCATATTTGGATCTACTTTGAGAGCATGATTACTTATATTGGTTTTGGTGCTATGCATTTAGGGAGTTCCTTCGCTGTTCTCTGATCTTTATCCTTTGTATCATCACCCAGGCAAGGTTAGTCTGTTTCCTTTCAGAACACAATGAAAAAACTGGAGATATGCTTTTGGAAGTATTTTTTGTTGTTTGCTTCTGTAAGAGATTTATTTAATTGTTAATGTATTTCTAGCATTATGTTGCTTTTACAGGCAGATATTCTAGAGCAATTGATTCTTGAGTTGGAAGATTCAATTAGAAAGACTGGAGCATATCCAGGGAGGTAATGTATAATCATTGTCCTCCAATTCTTAGTGTTTGGATCTTTTATCATACTGCTGGAAAAGTGGGAAATTTCATCTTTGTTTCTTATAAAATGCTTCAAAATTTTCAAGTCGGATTGGGGTTGAGTAGGGAGATGTTTTTCTTTTAATAATAAGATCTTTTCCCCAATCTTATTTATCTGATCAATCCTTGTTAAGCTAAGTTAAGTATCTGTTTTTTCTCCTCTTATGAACTTTTAAAGGCAGGTCATGGTAAGTTGATATTTGATATACCTCCTAGAAATGGAAAGGAAAAAGCATACAATATGGTGACGAATTCTGTTTTCTCTAAATGTCAGCAAGAAAAAGTTGCTCGACAACATTTTTGAGGATAAATTTGCAATTGGCTACCAACAATAAGTTTTTTTTTTTTTCTTTTCCTTTTCTTTTAGCACTTACAAAGTAATACTTTATCTTTCCATTGCTACCATGTTTCCTATTAATCTCAAAATCCAAAGATTTGATTACTCTTTTTCAATAGCGTTTGACACATGGTTTATCTTAGGATAACAATTTTATTCCCTCGAGCATGCCAATCAGATGTTACTGGTATGCATATAATTGGAGAATGATAATATGTTGTCAACTTGCCATATTATATTTATCACATTACCAGAAGAATGTGGAAATAGACTACTTCTATCTACTTCTCTGATTCTCTTATTTTGTGTATTTCTATGTGTGTTAGACTTTTTTTTTCCTTCTCTTTTCTGAATGTGGAAATAATGAGGTATAAGAAATCTCTAAAGGGAAGAGGAGACCAAATCTGTGTTCTTGCAATATGGAGAGAAAGCATAAAATGATAGAATCACTCTAATATTAAATATTTTGTTTTGTTCAAGCTTATCACTTTCAAATTTGATTTGGAAGAACATGGTTTGTCTCTCTAAATTCTATCAATCTGCCGAAGCAATGACTAGTCATTTTAGTGCTTTTGTCAATGCAATGACAAGAGCGCATAGGCATTGACTGGCTGACAAAACAGTAATTTTAAATTGAATATATTGATGCAATCCAATAAAAAGAATGCCATTGACCATTTAGTTCACAGTTTTTATTTTGCAAACATAAAAGGGTTAAGCTGGATAGGTTAAGATAGGGAATTACATCCTTTATTTTTTAAAGAAAGAGTGCAACCTCAAGTGTTCAATGTGATGTGGCCTTTGTTTGTGGCAACTCATACCAGCTGACCATTCATTAGAAGAAAAGTTAAAAGAATTTTTCCACTGTTTTCTTTCATTTTATGCCTTTTTGTCTATTTTATATTCCATCAGCCCAATCATTTTCTGTCACAGTTATTTAAAGCAACAGCATTATATAACAAAATAAAAATATATTCTTTATTATTAAGTAATTAGAGATACAAATAAACAAGCTTTAAAATAAATTTGTGGTTGACTAGGTTGTCTAGTTGCTAAAATAGACTAGTTGGTGATTTGAGATGCAACTGTCTGTAGTAGGCATCTAGATACCCCTAACACTTGGAGATCTGGAATTAGGCTACCGACATGTCAGAAAGTTCTGCACGTTTAGACAATAAGAGAATTTGATACTAGCAATGTAAATGTGCTTCCAGATTTGAGTTGCAAAATTGCAAAGAATAGAGAGATGATTCTGTTGAGCTTTGTGCTGATATCGCTTGTTATTTATTTACATGGCATAATTAGGGAGTTATTGGGCCCAAGGTCCATAGTTTATGTTTAAGTTAAGAGTGTTTATTTAGATTTTACAAGTGCTAGCAGCAACCATTTGACCGTTTAGTTATGGATTTTACCCTGATCAATGACTGTTTAGTTTCTAGTGCTAGCAGCAACCATTTGACTAAGTTAAAACCTATCACAATTAAATAATCTATTTCTGGAATCATGTGAGGATCTAAGTTGTACAATGGTTTAATATTCTGTTGTGCATCAACTTAGTTGAATGACCAATGCTTCTATGATGCTTTTAGTCCTAGTTCAGTGACTACTCAACTCTGATGCCTGAATATTTTTTGTTTTTACCTTGATGTTGAATAATTTTATAAAGTTCTGTTTATTTTTCATATCATGAATCTCAATCTCTCCCTCCCTCCTTTCCATTTCTCTCTCTCTCACTCCCCCCNCCCCCCCCCATTTTATACTCTGACTGAAATGGAAATATTTCATCTTGCTTGCAGGGCTGTGGAGCCTCCTTCGACGCTAATGTGGACTTTGTTTTTGTTGGCTCAGGTTTTACCCTGCAGTTGTCTTTGTTGAAATTTTTTAAGTTCCTATGTTCACTGGTCTTTTTATCAGGAATATTCTTGTTGAATCTCTGATGCAGCATTATGATAGAAGGGGCCAATTTGATATTGCTCTTACTAAAATTGATGAAGCTATTGATCATACTCCTACAGTGATTGATCTATACTCTGTCAAGGTTCGTATGACTGATCCATACTTGTCATTCCATTATAGAAAGAGCTTTAGCCCTCAGAATGAATGCTTTGTTCAGGTCAGGTATAAGATCAGCAATGTTCCAGCTGGGTCACTGGCTAGGGATGGGATAGAAAATCCTGTATTGGGGTTCTACTTACCAGGGAAAACTCTAGGGCATATATGTGTCTGGGTTCTGATATAACTTCCTTCAATGTAGTCAGGCTTTGTGGCTTCTGTACATTCTTTCATCTTTTAATAAAGTTGCCTTTTTCTAATCTCTATGACTGATCAGAGAAAAAAGGAAAAAAGGGAAAGCTCTGCAAACATTGTTTATATTTTCCATTTTCTAATTTACCCATGGTGTTTATACCTCTTAATACTAAGGTCTTCCTGTTCTACACTCTCCATTTTCTAATTTGCTTTGGCAATAGCTTTATTTGAGCTTCGCTTTGTTTAACCTTGTGTTTTTTAAGCTCTGGAATTGGAATCCCATTCCCATTTCTGGTGGAATGGCATTCCTCTATCTGAGGGAATGGTCATTCCCTCCCCCTCCCTTGGGAATGAGAATTGATTCCAGCTGATTCCGATTGCGATTCTCGTCTGAACCAAACAGGCAGGAGGAATAGACCATTCCCATTCCAAATCCAATGAATTTTGATTCTGATTCTGACTGCAAACCAAACAGACCCTTAGTTCATCCTTAATCTCCATGAAACCAAATTTTTGTTTTTTCCCACTTCATCCAATTTCTCCAACCAACCCTTCATCCGCTCTTTAGATTGCTTTGGGGTACATCACATCTAAATCTTGCTTTGATAAACTTATCATTTTGCATGTCTATAAACTTTTGTGCCTGTGGAATATGGCATGTAATGGGTGGATTAAGGAACAGCCACTATACTGATAATTCCACTTATTTATCAAAATGCTCTCTAATTTTGGTCATTCAAGTTCACTTATTGAATGTGCATGTGTATTTTTAGGCTTTTCTTATTTGGTAGCAACAATTGTTTAGGAAATTTGTTGTTTGGTTCCGATATTCATGTGAATATTATTTGTATTTTGGAGTCTTGTTGTTCTGTTTTTTAAGCAATGTTGTTGGGTGTCTTTTTCTACCTTCTCAGATTCTGGGGTTCATATTTTACCCTTTTGAGTTCTGCTTTCTGTAATTTTCTTTATATTTATGAAATATTGATGTGTAATCAAATGTATTTAGTAATGTGTAAGTACAGACATGTCAGAAGGGCCTTGCAACCTACCTTTCAAATAAAAAACAATAAACTAAATACAAAATTTGAGACTAGTGATATGTATAAATGTGTATGTGCATGTCTTTCCATTCCTCTTTCTGCCCTTCTTTCACAAATGTAAATCTTAGCCCGTATACCTTGCCATATGTTTGGAATTAGTTCATTCCATGGCACCATTTGTTTTCTTTGAAAGTTGAAAGTTTTGGGTGGCTATTATTACTTGTGCAGAATTCCTATATAAGGAGGGGTGAAGGGCTGTGACATGTATCGCGGGAAATGAACATTGGCTGCTCCAGATGTTCCCCATATGATGGACCTTGAGACAGCCTGTAGGTTGAGTTGTTGTGATGAGGAAATAATTTCCTAAACGAGTTAATTAAGCAAACTTCCAACCGGAGCAGCCACTCTCTTCCATAATCTCACTCTTCTTTAATTTCTTGTTCCTCCTTCTTCCATGGCACATATCTATGCCTACCACTTTTCTCTTCAATTCTTGGGAAGCAAGATCTATGTCCACCATTTTCTATCTCTTGTACAAATCTATATTACCTCTGCTGATGCCATCCATTATTCTAGATCCCAGAGTCTCTTAGGCAACAATAACAGTTATATAGATTCAAAAGGGTTTAGCTATCATGTTGACATTGTGTAAGACGTAAATCCCCTAGCTCTCAACCCTAAAATCCAATGGTTGAAAAAAGGTTTTCTTTTCCTTTTTTTTTCTCTTTTATTTCTTTCTATTTTAGCCATGTTGCAATTCAGGAAGATGCTTTGGTCACCTGTTCTGTTAATTTGACCTCTGCAGATTTATTGAATCTCTTTTTTGACAAATTTATGCTTTTGTTCATTAGCAGGACTATTCTTCTAATGTACTTTGTTATCTGAAGGTGGTTCTATCCTTTAGTTATTTCAGAGATTATTTGGTTGCAGGGGAGGATATTGAAGCATGCAGGTGACTTGGTAGCTGCTGCAGCTTCGGCAGATGAAGCTAGGTCTATGGACCTTGCAGATCGCTTCATAAACAGTGAATGTGTTAAGCGTATGCTTCAGGCTGATCAGGTACATCTTCATGTTCTGCAACAGTGCCCCCCCAAGAAAAGGCAAAGCTCTTGCCTTAATTTTTTACCAATTCTACGCTTCTGTATTTGTATTTTCCTTGTTGTTTTCCTATGTTCTTTTGTTCTTGTGAAACTGATGACTGATGATTGTTAATTTGTTACCCCCAAAGGTTGGATTGGCAGAAAAAACAGCTGTGTTATTCACAAAGGATGGAGATCAACATAATAACCTTCATGACATGCAGTGCATGTGGTACGATCCCTTTTCTTTGAATAGTAGCACATATAGTTTGACTGTGTTAATTCTTTGGTTTTGTATAGTTACCAACAGTAGTGTTGTTTATACATCAATTAGTTAATGGCTGATCATTTCAGTGCCACACTGATGGTGTCATTCACTACTCAGCCAATACTCATGACCCAATTGCTTTGGATGATTGATTGTTGATTAAGTAAACTAACTGTTAGTTTTATATAGTTCACTACAAAGCTATTTTTATGTCTTGTTTCTGTTTATGTCCAATCATTCAAAATAGTATTTTATAATCCTTTGTGATGGCATGTAGCTAATAAGGTATATAGAATAGAAATAAGGCATAAAATAAAAGAGGAAAGTGGGTGAGGAGAACCTTCAAAGCCTTTTTCCAGCTGGTCATATGCTGGTTTAGAGTTGTCTCAAATAAGGGAACTACCAATTGTTCTCTCTGGTGGTTGTGTGCATACCATCTCTAAAGTGTTGTTTAGAGGCTTTTTCCTCTCTTCTTCTTTCACTAACCCTAGGCCTCATTAGTTAAAGCACTGCATAGGGATGTCAAAATGACTAGTGATCTCCTTGTTGCATCTACAATATTGTCTAACAATTGCCCATAAGCTGCTAACTTTGTTGGCTTATGCATCCTGAGAAGGTATGAACTTGCTTCTGGTGAAAGTTATTGTCGACAAGGTGATCTTGGGCGAGCTTTGAAAAAATTCTTGGCTGTGGAGAAGCATTATGTGGATATGAATGAAGATCAATTTGATTTCCATTCATATTGTTTAAGAAAAATGACTCTTCGCGCCTACGTGGAAATGCTGAAATTTCAAGATCGCTTGCATTCACATGCATATTTTCATAAAGCGGCAGCTGGAGCTATCAGGTGATTTTTTTTTAATTCTTTGTTTTATGTTGAAATTTGTTTTGAGATATTTGGTTGAGTGTGTTCCCCACTTTTCTGGCTATGTGTCTGCATGCTTCTAGTGCTCAATGCAAATAATGTGGGTAAGTCTTATTTGGAAGATTTACTTTTGATGCAATGACCAAGTTTCAAGGGCAATGCTTTAAACCTCAAATCAAAGCTGACCTGGTGATGGAGCGGCTTGGCCCAACCTAGCTGGGTTGGCAGCCTGATTGGTTCAGCCTACCATTTAGTTGATCCTTGAAGCAGTTTGATTGTCAGTTTCACTGCCTTATTCTGGGCTTTGCACATTCTCTGATTTGGAAGTATGACTGGGTAGTTGAACGGACCAATTTCTAGCGTGTTTTAATCAATTAATGTCTCCACTATAAAGTTTTTCTCCAGAATACCGAGGATACCGTGGCTGTAATATATGGCAGAATTTATACCTGTGGTCTGATGGCAGTTTAGTCTCTTCTTAGAACCAACAATTCCTAAAACTGTAACTTTGTCATTTGCTAATGTCCATTTTTTATCAAATTGCGACAAATTGTGTCATGGTTAAGTTTATTCGGTTGTTTGAATACAGATGCTATTTAAAATTATATGATTCTCCATCAAAATCAGCAACTGAAGAAGATGATGAAATGTCAAAGTTGCCACCTTCTCTGAAAAAGAAAATGAGACAAAAACAGAGAAAAGCAGAAGCCCGTGCTAAGAAAGTATGGTATTCTTTTCTCCTATCATCTCTTGGTGGTATTCTTATCTAATAGACTAGAGATGATATCTTGCATTTATGTAGGAAGCTGAAGAGAAAAATGAGGAGTCAAATGCTGTTAGTGTCTCTAAATCTGGAAAGCGGCAACATACAAAACCAGTTGATCTTGATCCCAATGGAGAGAAGTTGTTGCAGGTGGTTTTAGATTCCTGGTTTATTTCTTTTTCTGGCTTTCATATATCTTACTTCTATGTGGACATTTTAATGCTGACACCATGTCAACCAGAATTTTGCAAAATTTTTGGAGATGTAACTATCATTCTGTGTTCTCTTATACAATGGTACAGGTTGAAGATCCATTATTAGAAGCTACAAAATATTTGAAGTTACTCCAAAAGCATTCTTCAGATACCTTGGATACACACTTGCTTTCTTTTGAAGTTAACATGAGAAAGCAGAAGGTGTTGCTTGCCTTTCAGGTACTTAAAATTTGACTTTGTCCTGTGTACCCTTATTTTTCATCATTTTTAGTTTTAAAAGTCTTGGTGTATGTGCATCTAGCTGCTGGCATTTAGAACATATGAGGAAAATTTATCCAAATTTGTTGGAAATTGATATGAAGAAATTTGTAACTATTTAGTTTCACATGTTATGGTGTCTTTAAGGGTGCAAATTGAAGAGCTCTGCACATGGTAGCCATTATATTGTTCCTAGTAATGGTGAATAATCTCTTTTGTGGTCATTGCCTTTGCTTTCTTGTTTCCGTGGGGATAAAATGTATACAAGAATGAATATTATACATATGCCATTCATGGAGTCAGAACAAAATTCACATTATTTATTGTTTTTTACACCTATTTAGATAGAAAAACACTCATTAAAAGGAAACATTAGTGTCAAATGTACCTTCCTCACATTCTTTATAGTATGCAACTCTATCTTCTCAGTTCTGGCAGTAAATTAGGGAAATATTCCTATTAGTGGAGCACTAGCATTCAATTTTCATGTGGAGGTCACCATTGACCTCTTTTTTTTGATAGCACCCCTTTCCTTTTTGTCTTTTTTATGAACAGTTCAGAACATTTTTAATAGAACAGTGAAGCAATTATTTATTCTGCAATGGGGTCTTGTACTCTTGCCAAGAACTACAAATATAATTATTTTATGAGATTTAGTTGGAACCTGTTAGAAAAGGTGAAACAATGAGTGCATTTATAAAACTGGATACAAAAATCGGCTTCACAAATCGTGTTTTGTTCACAAATTACAATGCTGGCATTACACATGACAACTTGTCATTGTCAACTAGATGTCTATCTTCATAAGAATCTAGTAGTTCTTCATTGGAACAACTAAATGAGTTATTCATCAAGAAAAAAAAAACAACCAAATGAGTTTCTTCTTGTGCTTAGAGAACTAATGTGTGTTATGATGTTATCGAGAGGCTTGAAAGGATACTGATGAAAGATCATGATAACACAGAGAGAGGCTAATTAATTCAGAAATGTGAAGTTTCATGTAGGACTGAGGGATGGAAAAGGACCATCTAATGAACTCAGAAATGGTGTCCAGGAGGGCACAAAAGATACTGATAAAAAACAGAGAGAGAGGCTAGAAAATATCATGTGAAGTTTCATGTGGGATCTGGGGGATGAAAAAGGAATATCTAATTAATTCAGAAATGGTGTCCAGGAGGATTAGGCCTGGAGAGACTTTAAGTTTAGGAATTTGTCTCACTGAATTAGTTGCAACACATTGGATACAGGACTGGCAAGAACAAATTTGTCCTCTTAGGTGTGATCCGGGGAAGGAGTTTACTCTCCAAACTAAACTTTTCAGATTGTATTCTATATTCTCTTCAAAACTGTCCCATTTCCTTGATATTTCCGTTCCTGGTATTTCATGGAATTCGGGATTTTGGAGAGGTATGAAGGATAGGGAATCTGAAGATCTCATAACCCCCCTCCTAGACATCTTAGAAGGGGTTCTGTTTTATGGTAATGGAAGTTGTAGTAGGGTCCAGTCAATTGATATGAGTGGAACTCTTTTCTTTTTGTGCTTCCTTTTTCAAGGCTATATGTCCTCTTGTTCCTATTGTGTTTCCAACCAAAGCAGTTTTGGAAATAAGGGGGTTCTTTTGAAAGTTTTTTGATTAATTTCTTTTGGAAGTTCTGTATTAAAAAATTAATCTGTGAGGTTACTTCAAAGGAGACCACATTGTGCTCTTACACCTCATAGGTGTTATCTCTGCGAAGCTAATATAAGATCACTTTATATTTGCCAATCTCCTGTAACGTCCAAGAGGGAGAAGGATCATGTTCTGACTGCCAATGTACTAGGGCTACATTACTGTGGTCCATTTAGGAGGAGAGAAATCCCTGATTATTGTCAGATAAGGACAGAATGTTGGAGGCCTTGATTACTTGTTCACAACAAGAGTAGCTGATTGATTACAGATATGAAGAATTCAAGGATTTCACTACTGATGACATCATCAAGAACTAAGGGTTCATTTGGTTCATGGCCAGAGTCGGAATCAAAATCCCCTAGAATCATAATCAGATCCACCTATTCCCTGTCTGTTTGGTTCAAACAGGAACCAGAATTGGATTCCATAAGATGGAATGAGATAAATAGGATTTGGGGTAAGCCGGTAAAGGTACATAGGATTTGGGGATTTTTTAAGTAACTTGTCTTTTTTTAGCCCAGATGGAATGAGATTTTCATTCCCAAGAGGGGAGGCCAGAATGGCCATTCCCTCAAATGAGAGAACGTCATTCCATGAGGAATGGGAATCAGAATCCCATTCCACCCAACCAAACGGATGGAATAGGAATGGCCCATTCTGATTCCGATTCTAGACCCCTATTCCTGCTAACCAAACAGACCCTAAGAAGCTCTCGACTGATATGGAATAGTCGCCCTGCAGAAGATTCCCTTAAGCTGCACCTGATGGTTGCTGTATCAACAATTTTAGGAGATCAATGGACAGAGTAGTCAGAAATCATAGTGAAGATATCATACCAGTGGTAGTCAGGCCCCATTGCAGTGTGGACTGCAATAGAGGTAGAACTGTTATTCATGCTTCAATGTCTGAGACATTGTTCTTCTCTAAACCTTTGAGGTAGAGACGTGCTGCTAATGCACTAGCAAATGAAATAATAGAGACTTTATTCTTCTGCACTCTTATAATTTTTCTGAAATAATAAAATTTTTACCTTATCATTAATGATTAAAAAAGCTAACCAAATTTCCCAGGGAATGTGATTGGTCAGTTAAGCATTGTGTAAGCAAATTTACAATCTTCAGACATTTAAATTGATTATTGAAATGGAATAGTTGTATTTTTTTTTTTTATTCTGCACAGTTTCATAATTTATTGATGGATATAATTTCTCCTTTCTTTTCAGGCTGTAAAGCAGTTGCTTAGGTTGGATGCAGATAATCCCGACACTCATCGATGCTTGGTATGCCAACTCTCCTGATATGATAAACGAGGAATTAAATGCAAATCACAAATGATCTTATTATCATCTTCATTTGCTAATCTTGGACCTACTGCAGATAAGATTCTTCCATAAGGTGGATAGCATGGCAGCTCCAGTGACTGATTCCGAGAAACTCATTTGGAAGGTCTTGGAAGCAGAGCGCCCTGATCTGAGGTTCCTATTGGCATATCATTTTCTTGATATAAATTTGTTTAATTCTTAAGACTTTGAAATATCAATAGTGACTTTGTTCTTGCAGTCAATTGCATGGGAAATCTCTGATTGAAGCAAATAGCTGCTTCCTTGAGAAACATAAAGGTTTTTATCTTCTTTCCCCATCCGTATGGACAGACACAGTATGACAGTACTATAGTTGAAAAGTTTTTTGCTGATTCTTTTATTCTTTTTGCATTTTTTTTTCGAAGATTCCTTGTTGCATAGAGCATCAGCTGCAGAAATGTTGTTTGTTTTGGATCCTGAAAAGAAAACTGAAGCTATAAAACTTGTTGAAGATTCAACGAACAGTCCGGTGCAAGCGTAATGTCTCTTTCCATGATTTATGCAGTTTATATTGTTTGAACTGTTTTCCCAACAGATCCAATAACTAAAAAGTGAATCACAAAGATTGAAGCGTTGGTTGTTTTGCTAACCAGAAACGGAGCATTGAGAGCAGTGAAGGAATGGAAGCTCAAGGATTGTATTGCAGTCCACAAACTCCTTGAAACAGTCCTCAGTGATCCCGATGCCGCATCTAGTAAGTCTCATATATCATCTTCCACTTCCATGTTTGACACAATACTGTGTCAAAATACTCAAGCCTATCAAACTCAGTTGTATCATCTTTGTTGGAACATCATGTCCATTCATAGATTGGATGTATTCCCTCTGTTCAAAGCTCTGTTCAATTGGGAATCAACATAGGTCAGGAAACTGTTTGTGCATGTTACTAAAATGGCCATTTCTCTTGCAGGATGGAAAACACGATGTGCTGAATATTTCCCTTTCTCAACATACTTTGAAGGTACACGCAGCTCAGCCTTCTCCAAATCTGCTGACCATCAAGAAGCTGGCACAAGTGGAGATTCTCACTCCTTGAATGGAAAATTAGAGGATTTCAACAATCTAACCATCTAATATCACGTCTGCACCTTACCTTGAAGAATTATAGATCCAAGAGAGCATAGAGAAAGTGCCACAAAAGTCTGAATCACGCTGGGCTTGGGGACAAAGGATGTGGTACCCGACGACTCCTAAGGAGGGAAGCTCATGCGGAAATATTTGTCCTTGAGGTTTTGTCAGCAAATGCTATGAGACTCTTTTTTCCTGATGGCCATTTCTTCCACCCGGTTGCTGGATGGATTCCGTTTAAAATGTGTATACTTTGTTAGTTGGTTGTGTTGTGAGGGTTGCTGAATCGTATACCCAACTCTGTTGAATCAGAATCCTAGATAGTGGGGTTATAAAACGTGCAGCGTTTCGACTTTCGAGGCTATAAATGTTTTAAGGTCAAGGGGAGCGCTGATACGTGTCTTGGGTACTGGTCCTGCATCCGGTCATAATGTTGAGCAACAACATTTTGCCCTGATGAGTCTATCTCCAGTGTTTGTTGTACTCAACTTTTGATTTTCTTGGCCATTGTCTCAAGTTATTGTACCACAACATGGAAAATTTTGGCATGATTTCATATTGTACCAATTGAATTTGCAGCGATGATCAACAAGCAGCGTTGGGAGTGAAGAGAAATAATAAGTTTACATTTTGTTATTGTGTGATCAAGTCTGTTCTGTCTCTGTAGGGGTTTCCTCGTCTTGGCAATCTGTTACTCGTACCCTTCTGTACAAAGGCATGACCCTACTAATAAAATCCCCCTGATTCAAAACTGTTAAAATTCTGCGTATTTCATCAGGCATTCATGAAGAGTGCATGTTGCAGGTGAATGTGCCTTAAAACCCTCTTCTATAAGAAATACATCTTTGGGGCCTCACACCCAAAAACAAACACTGAAATATCAAGGTCTGATCTCTGAGAAAATTCATTCCAGAACACTTTGGGGCAAAGGCCAAAGGGTCGTGGTTGTTGTAGGAGTTATTGGTGCTAGCGTGGATTTTTCTTTGTATTAATTTAATGCTGTGTCTGGTTTGAAGGAAAAGGTAGGGAAAGGAATGGAAAGGTGGAGAAACTTGTACAAACTACAAACCTTGTATGGGTTTCCCTACTTTTCCCTTTGCCTTTTCCTTCAAACCAACACAGCCCAAGGGATTATACTTAAATAAGGCTGTAGTGTAGTGCTGCAGCAAAGTCAAAAACCCATTCTAGAGCTAGAAACCTATGGTTTTTTTTTTTGTTTTTTTTGTATATTGCAATGTAATTACACCTTTGGCAAATAATGCTGGTCCATGCAAGGCGTGATTGCCATTCAATTGGAGCCTCACTGAGCTGATTCAAGAAATTTCCTCTTAATTGTCAATGAATTTCGTTGAGATCATTCTTCCCGTTTAAATTACATCTCATGTAATGCACCGATTCAATGGAGTTCACTGGATGTAGGTCATGTGCCAAGGAACCTATTTGTTTGTTCAATTTTCTTCTATATTGAGCTCCATGGAATACATCCTTTTTGGGCTAATACGTTAGTGGGCCACTCCACTTGGTCCCACCCAAGAATCTTTCATCTTGATGGGCCCAACATGTATACCCTTGATGGGCCCAAGCAAGGTTCAAAATATCGATACGTTCGATACGCCAGTAAGGGTGTATCGGGTGAATCGATACTGTTTTTTTTTTTAATTTTTTTTTTGAAACCGGTTCAAGGGGGACGGTTTAGGGCTCTTCCACCCCCTGAACTGGTTAGACCCCCGATACACCCACTATAAAGACGTTTTGGAGGGGTCCCGGAATGATACGTACATGTCGATACTTTGAACCTTGGGCCCAAGTACACAAGATGTGCTCATGCTTACAGATAGGAATCAATCCTGAAAGCAAAGCATGAACCCTATTTGACCCTGTGCAAATAATGGGCAAAATTGCATCAACCATGCGATTTTGCCAATTATTAAAAGCAGATAGAGCAAAATGCTGGGAAACATACGATTATGTGAATATGGCGGCCGGTGGAAAATTAGAAAAAAGTTGTGGATCCAATAGAATCTGAATTTGGTGCTATTTTGGAAGCCCTTTCTTTTTGTTATTTCTCAAGGACGGAAGGGATTCAAAAACCGTCATAGAAGGATGCAATGCAATGGTTCAACATCCTATGGACTTTTTTGAAATGGCTTCACAAAGTTTTATGATTTAGTATGTGTTTGGTATAGTTTCTGTTTACTAAATAAATGTTTATATTTGATTTGTCTTCAAACCTGAAAAAAATACTTGATAAATCATTTATGGATAACTAGGTGCCACATCAGCGAAACAGTAAAAAATGTTATTTATGGATAACTTGATAAATCTTTGGGGAAGCGTTAAAATGATGATTTCTCCAATAGTTGATGCACACATAAATCAAAACTCACTTTTGTGAATATCAATGCATATGGATGAATACAAATAAAAAAATGTTAATTTGACGATGACATAACAATATTTTGATAAATGCCTATCACAAAATGCCCACATGACAAAAGCTTAATGTTTGTTAAATTTGTATACAAAGACCTTGACGTTAGACACTCATACCGTTGCACAAAAAGCTAAGTCTATTTGGGGAAAGATTAATTATGTGGAACTTTGCCCCGGATTGGGCTCTGCCTTTTGTTTGTAATCCTGTTAGTGTTTAGTAATAAGTTGCACAGACCTTCAAGCAAGCAACTAGTAGCTACCAAGCAATTAACGGTGCTGTTAAATTTGTTTACAAGCGCAAAAAACGTTTTGTTTGTAGTCCTGTTTAGCATACGGCTGCAAGTTGGGCCGAGTTGATGATCGGGTTGGGTTAGGGTTGACCCCTTGGGCAACCCGACCCCCTATTGTACTAGACTACTAGTCTACAACTCTATTACACATCATATATATACATACATACACTGATTTGTTTAGATGCATGATAGTTGTATAACCCCCCTACATACTATCATGTCTTTCTTTAAGTTATTCACATGTACTTGATTACTTGTCTTTTATTAGTGATTCAAATTTTTTGTTTGATCCTATGAATTGTTATTAGTGATTTTATTTCCATAATTTTATGTTTCATTATTGTTGATTTCATAAATTTATATTTTTGAGAAAAATTCTGTCATAAGTCATAATTCATGATAAATAATTACTTATTTTTCTACTAGATTTTAAGGGATGGGAAGGTTGGGTTGGGCCCAACCCGAGCCCAACCCAACCCGAAGTTGACATCGGGTTGGGTTAGGGTTGAGTAGGTCGGGTTGGGTTAGGGTTAGGGTTGGGGGTTTAGAACATCGGGTTGGGCTAGGGTTGGCCCCAACCTGACCTAACTTGGCTTGACTCGCAGCCCTAGTTTAGCGGTTTAGCCCCGGACTCACCACTCACCAATACTCATACGGGCGGCAGTGGCACACCTAGTTCTTGGACAGAACAAGTTCACTGGTCCCATATTAGCAAGCTTGTCAAATCCTTTTGACTCTTTTATGCTTTTTGGGAAAATCTATGATGCGGAAAAGATATGGTATGGGAAGAGTTTTAATCAATCAAAACCCACCCATGAATTTTGATGAATAAACTTGATCGGGTACAACGTTTATCATGGTTTTTAAAACTGACCCAGAGACCGAACCAGTCAGGGGTCCGGTTACCGGGTCAAACGGTCGGCCCGTTCAGACAAAAAAAATAAAAATAAAAAACGGACAAAACCGTTCGAACGGTTAACCGCCCAAGTCAGCGGTTTGCTGACCAAAATCAATGGTTTTTTGAGAAATCCCGGTTTTGAGGAAAAACAGAATCGGTCTACTAACCAGTTCCCGTTTTTCTGGTCCAATCGTCCAGTCCAGTCCGATTTTGAAAACCATAATGTTTATGATTCCAGTTGATTGGTCAGAAGTTTTTCAGATATCATATTTTTTCCATATCATAGTCGAACCCTTTTATGCTTTGTGTATATTGGGTAATGTTTGGAGCCAGTATCTTTCTCCAGTGCCATTTTGAGAGAAAGAAGTGCTGCATTGGTATGCCGTTTTTTGATTTGTTTGCTGTTTGAACCGTAGCTGCTGCCATATAGGCATTTTTCAGTGCCACATCAGAACTCAGACCACACCATTTCTCGGTTTCTTAGGTGTGATCTGAGAAAACGTTTTTCTAGAAAATGGCACCAGTTCCAAACATTACTTTAGTAGACAATATAACCAACTGGCCCTTCTTTTTTACTATTTTTTTTTTTTTGGCTTATATGAACCGTGCATAGTTGTACTTTCCAACAGACTGAAATGGAGGATTCTTGTTTTTCTCAGTTTAGTCTTGAGAATTTGTGCTTGCTGGATCTGATCTATTATGGAGGATACTCCCTTTACCTTAGCTTCCTTGTGTGGAATAATAATGCAGTGCGTGCTTGTTATGAACGGAATTGGTGTTCGAGTTTCCTGGGCGGGTCATCCAACTGTAGAAAAACTTCGATACCATGGTTGGTTACTGGGATTTCAGATAAAACACTTCACTGATTATCAGTCTACCACCAAACTAAACTATGTAAATCTCTATTGCAATTAAATCAACTGTAAGCTGCCAAGTTCATCATTGAAATGCATTGGTATTTCCATTACTAAATCTAATTAGGTTTCGAGAAGATTGTTGTTGAGAAGCCAGTTATTGCTCTTGCCAATTTCTGAATCGAACAACTGGTTCTGATTCATTTAACTATGACAATTGACAACCATTAATTTGGATAAAATCAATCTCACTAAGATTATCAGTTTACATAATTACATTCTACTACATTTGCTCGATGCTTGTTTGCTTACCGTAGATCCATCGTCTCAATAATCTACTTCACTGATATGTTCATTAATCCATGCATCTAAATCATTTTCATCGAGTATAAAGCGATCTCGTTTTCCCCGTCAATGAATTCCCGAGCTTCCCTTCCCCTCAGCTATTGGATGTAAATGTTATGGTCCTGCGCATAGGAGATTACAGAAGAGAATTCTCCTCACTCTTTTGTGGGACTGAATGGGTGATTTGTCCTTCCTTGCGTGTAGACCCTATTGTGGGATTGAATGGGTGATTTGTCCAAGAGACCACCCGAACTCTCCTCACTCTTTTTCTTGGCTGAAAAACTGAATGCTTTATTTCAATTTGTAGCTCCTTAAATAAGAGATTACAGAAGAGAATTCCTTGTTGGATTCGGCTAGGCTAGGGTAATCCAACTTAAACTAAAACTCCTAATTACCTACTCCTAATGGTAATACAACTCCTACTTAAGAAGATAAGACAAGGATAAGGGATAGGATAAGATAAGATAAGGGATAGGGATAAGATAAGGATAAGGTAAGCTGGCGGCGAGTTGGCTTGACGTGTCCAGATAAGGGTGGGCCCACCCCTATGAGCTGTCGTGTGGCTCCCGCTCTGCTGTTGCTGCTGGGTGCGTGTGCGCGGCTCATGGTGCCGTTGTCGCGCGGTGCGTGCACGCAGTGCTGCTGCCGCGCAGTGCGTGCGCACAACTCATGGTGCCGCTGCCGTGCGGTGTCGGGCGTGTGCGCGGTGCGTGCTGCGTGCCATGGTGTCGCTGCCGTGCGGTGCCGCCGTGCGGTGCGTGTAGTGCGCGCTACTGCCTGGCGGTGCGCGTTGCGCGCTATCTGTGCGTGCTGCTACCTATGACTACTCCGCAGTGCGCTGCCGGATGGTGTGCCCATAACATTACACCCCTCCCGGACTACGAGCTTGTCCTCAAGCTCGTGTTTAGGATACATGGCTTGGGACTCTGCGAATGAATCAAAGGGCTGCACGCTATTTCTTAGTCCACCAACAGTATGAACAACAGGGACTGCCCCGTCTCTCAGTGCATAACGCTGGACTATTTGATGCAGACCCCCGCCACCTTCTTTAGTTTTCAGCTCCCAGGCGTAACCATGGCTTACAGTGACTCCCCGCTCT